AGGTAGGTAGTGTCCTTATGAGCACCCTTCCCCTGAATTCAGACACAGCATGTGGATCGTCTTCTTATCCTCATCACGGCGTCTGCAGCCTCTCAGCTGCCACAGAGAGGCGGGAACACCTGGACAGGTCACCAGTCACCAAATAACCTAACCCACTGTGGGAGGAAGACACCCCAGCGCCACTGTGCTGCCACCTGGCAATTTACCCATTCATAATAATTAGGGGCGTGGCCTCTTTGATTGACAGCTGGATGGTGACACAGGTGGCTGCAGCTGAACTGGACCATCGTGTTTGTGCTGTTGGAGCCTTCTGGAGCATTTTAGTGACATCATGCTGTGACGTCACTGCACTAACAGACTGAAGCTAAAAATCAGCACAATGTTTAAAAACACATCAGCTGATTCATGTGTCTGAAGAACGAGCCACAGCCTCAGGTAGACACGCCCACATATTTATTATTACTTTTAAAAGACTTTAACTTGACTCTAACACGGGAGGGTTGTTTGGATGAACCAAGAAGAAGATGATCATCGTCGTGTGTGTTTCACGGCTCCGTGGAGGACGTGAGCTACCTGCTGCTGCTGCTTTCTGTGTCGCTCCGTGGCGGAGGGTTACTTTCAGAACTTCCGGTCAGCGACTGCGCATTGATCGAACCAGACTCCGTTAACAGGTGTTTTCATCGAACCGTTCCCGGTTCGTCAGCAGTGATTCACGGCTGTGAGAAGAAACTATCCCGCTCGGGCACGTCAGGACCCCGGCCTCTGCTCCGCGTGTGAGACCAGCTGAACCACCTGAACACGAATTCATTCTTATTTTACTCTCACACGTACATTTTTATAAGATATTTAAATGTTGATGTGTAACCAGCCCTGGAGCAATCAGAGTCTAACATCATCTCAGAGGAAAGTCACCCATCATTATTTCCGTTTTCCTACAAGCTGCGAACGTTTCACCAGACTCCATTTAAAATCTGTCACGTTTAAACTTTCCTCGAGTCTCCACAGACACCGGTGGTTTGTAGAAAACATCTGAACACGATCCTCCATCGTGTGAACTCGTTCTTCATTTCGGCCAACAGAACAACTCAATAAAGATCGCATTTTTGGTGTTTTAGTGAGAATGAATCTGCACCACGGTCTTTCCTGTCCCACCCTCCCGATGACGAAATCGCTGCTTTGCTTCAAACTTCATGAAAGTTCATTTTAAAGCAACACAGCTGTTCCGGAGAGCAGCTGCCCTCTGCTTTTCGAGCCGACTAAACTTGTTTTGCAGCAGCAATCACCGAGCTTTCAACAACCAGATGTTTGAGAGAACCGGACCGAGTCCCAGCTCAGCGTGTGGCCGCTCCG